AGTGGTCCTCAGACACAGAGGTGTCCAGCATTGGCTCTGGAGAAATGAGCATTCTGATCCTGAAAGGGGGGAGAGAACCTGCCTGATCCCATGTGTATGCTGGCCTAGTGGTGCCACTGGGTCACCTGGGGACGGGCAGCACCTTTAGGATTCTGGGTAAACTCCAACAACAGCCAGTTCATGACTTACAGCTTCTGCTGCTGAAGCTTGTCTGCAGACTGCAACTAACATTTATTATTGTCCTTCTTTCCTGTGATTTCTAGATTCTCTCACTCTTGGGCGATCCCTGTGGATCCAGGCCAGTGGTTCTCAACCCGTGGGTCGTGACCCCTTCGAGGAGTTCGAAAGACCCTTTCACAGCTCACTTAATATCATCAAAGACACAGACATTTACTCTGCAATTCATAACAGCACCATAACAGCTATGAAGTAGCAAGAAAAATAACGTTACGGCTGGGGTCCCCACAGCATGAGGAATTGTGTTAAGGGTCACAGCATTAGGAAGGTTGAGAATCGCTGCCGTAAGTGGTCGACATGGTGTTTGGACTTCCCTCGTTCATGAAGGCCTTGAAATCTCTGGTCACTTCGCCCTTTTCCAGTTGTGATTTCTTTGTTTTCAATTTACACACAAAATCACATAAAGAAACACCAAGATACACCTCAGTCTCTCACCCCCTCGGCTTGGACCCCATTGACTCCTGTGTGTCTGCCAGTCTCTTTGCAAGAGAAATATAGAATGACGTCATAGCAGCTGTGGCTTGAATTTTTAAAAATATTTATTTGTTTTGTGCCTGCACATGTGTGTGTAGGTCATAGAACAATGGAGAGGAGTTGGTTTTCTCCGTGAGCTTTAATGACCAAACACAGGTCTCAGTCTTGGTGTCGAGCATCTTTACCCTCTGAGCCATTTTGCCGGCCTGAACCTGTAGTTTAATGTTTAAAATTATGTATTTATTTATTACATGTATGAGTGTTTTGTAGGTACATATGTCTACGCACTGCTTGCGTGTCAGGAACCCATGAAAGCCATAGGGGGCTTCATATCTCCTGAAACTAAGTTCACAGAGGTTTGTGGGCTGCCATGTGGGTAACTGAACCAGGGTTTTCTCCAAGAGAAGCAAGTGCTATAAACCCCTGACTCATCTCTCCAGCCTCTACAGCTGAAGAGATGTTTCATTAAGCACCTAAAAAGTCTCTAGACCTGGGAATGATATAGCCTCTTGTTCACAGAACAACAAGCTGCGGAGACAAGAAATAGTAATTAAGAAAGGGTGTCAGCAGCAGGGCTGGTGGGCATGGCAGTTTTTTACACTTCCTTCTCGGTTCCCAGGCCCACCAGTTCTGTTTGTTTGGGATAGCACCATATTATGGCCATCTGCACTGTTAGGCAGAATCTTCTCCAACGGTATCACCCGAATCCTGCTTTAAAGCCTGCTTTCTTGACTTATATCTGGCACCAGCTGTTCTAGGTCAGGTTCCTGGCGTGTAGAATCTTAAACGGAGATTTGCACGCAGCGAGTTTCCTGGAGATGACCTCGGGCTCAGCACTGGTGGCTGGAGGATTGCCGGAAGCAGGCCTGGCCGGAAGAAGGTGAATTGTATTGCTGTCACAGTACAGTTACACCAAAGGCTTCGGCTGACCCATGAGAGGGCCTCTCAAGCCAGCTGGCCCCGAAGCGATGTCCCCCACCAATGCTGTACAGCCTTTCTCTGTCAGGAGGTCTTGGATGTGATCTGCTCCTGGGAAGCGGGTGTGATTCGCTGAGGTGGCTACTTTTAAAAGAGGGAAATTAGTTTCCTTTGCTCAAGCTCACGGTGGCTTATTTGTGTGTTTGGGAAACATTTTTGGTACATGTTTTGCTGATTTAATCTGCAGATCTTTCAAGGACAGCCAAGGAGGACATTTATTTATTTATCCATCTATCTATCTATCTATCTATCTATCTATCTATCTATCTATCTATCTATCTATTTATTTATCTATCTATTTACTTATTTGTTTTTGTGGCACTGGAGTTGAACACACAAGGCTTTACGCATGCTAGGCAAGTGCTACATTACACAGCTACACCCCAGCCCAGGAAAGGAGTTTTTAAATAAAGCTTCTCCTATATTCCATGCTCTTAACTTGGAATTTCCTTGATGGAATACAATCATATAAATGTGAGCTTCAGACCTGAGTGGAGCAAGATGATGGCTATATATTCTCATTGGAAAAATTTCCTACTGTAGAGAATTACTTAATGCATGAGTTAATCCAATGACAAGCACCCTTTTTGCTACTTCCCTCACTCCCCCCCCCCCCTTGGAAGCCAAATTAACAGAAAGCACTTACTTATCGTCTCTAGTGACAATCTGACTATGTACATAGAAATCCCAGACATTGAAATTTATAATATAGTGTCGAATATACAGTCTTTTACGTGGCTTTGGTGGCCACGTAGAATGTTTATTTGTAAAAAAAGTTCCTAATATAAATGACTGGAAGTGGCAAGGGGAACTATCCTATTCATATTAGTAATATTAAGTGACACATGGGGCTGGAAAGATGGCTCAGTGGTTAGGAGCGCTGGCTCGTCCAGAGGACCTGGGTTTGATTCCCAGCACCCACATGGCAGCTCAGAACCAAATGCAATTTCAACCCCAGAGGATCTGCTGTCTTCTGGCTCAGGCATCAGGCATGTAAGTGGTGCACAGGCACACAGGCAGGCAAAGCATCGCACACACGTAAAAAAGTGGCGCACGTTTAATAGATTTATAAAAAACATTTATATATGAGAAGTAGTATAGGATATCACTGAAATACATAAAATACAATACAGACAAAGGGAAATCTGTGTGTCTTGAGATTAAACGTTTGATGTCGGGATATAAAGTTTTGATGCTGTCATGGTAACACACAGGCATGGTAACACACGCCTGTAATCCCAGTACTCATAAGGTAGAGGCAGGAGGAGCATGAGATCAAGGGTAGCCTGGGCTACAGATAGCATTACAAGCTAGCCTGGACTATATGAGGCCCTGTATTCAAAACTAAACTAAACTAAACTTAACTAAACTAAACTAAACTAAACTAAACTAAACTAAACTAAACTAAACTAAA